TGGGAAGAGGGAAAAATTTTGCACAAAAAAATCACGCATTCGAGGTAAAACATAATTTTATCTATGTCCCCGTGCCAGTGTCCATAGTATTTCCATGAATTCTACGATCACAATCGAAGACACCGACGAAGAGGTGATTGATCTGGACTCAAGCCAAGATAACATCGTTGATACTGACAATGATCAAAGTGAATGTTCGATTGAGAAAAATTCGTTATCGAACAACAATGCGAGTAAGACGGATATAGCTAGTGAAAATGTAGAAAGTAATAGCAGCACGTTTAAAGCAGAAATTTGCGATAACACGAGTACATCGAAACCACTTTTTAAGGTTATATTTCGAGATGAAAATGTCTCAGGGTAAGAAATTGTTTCGTTTATTTATGGGAGGGCATGTTTATTTGTTTCTTTAAATAGTTTCTCATATAATTTTCAATAAATACTTATACGTATTACATAAATAATGTTACTTATTTATATATTTTTAACAATATATGTTAAATAAACACACGTGCGTTAAGATAATTGTTCCCCTGTGTTAATTTCATTATGACAGAGTTATATCGGTTATATACAACAAAATAAATTATGGTAATTCACAATTCGTTTTATAGATATATTTTATAGATATATGAGTGTTATACAAATGAAAATCTAAGTGTTTTCCAGTCTATGAAGTTGTTTGTTCTTGAGATAACTTGTATTTGCATTTCCTTTATTGAATTTTTAGGCATTATAGTAAAAGAATAAAAGAATTTCTAGAGGAATTAGTATCTTCCAAGATTAAAAGTCAAGAAAATGATAATGGTTTAACTTTAGAAATTTGGGATAATGATACTGATTCAACAAGTCAGTCTATTGAAATTACCACAAAAAGTGATGATAGTCAGGATATAATATGCGAAACATTGTTTACTGTAGATACACAGCCAAAACTTAAAGATGATTTTGATGTTCCAACTTATGGGAAGGTCTGTTTTTTTATTGTAATGTTCAATATTTACTTGTAGGAAGAAATATTTTAAATTCATTGTTCTTAACGTAATCAAAATATTTTCTAACTATTATTATTGCTAAAAATTTTAATATTGTGATACATACTATTTTAGAAATACGAAAATGTGTATGATAAAACAAAATCTGAATCAGATCCAAAACAAAATGATGGTTATGCACCAAAATTAATGTGTTTTAATTGTTCGGAAAATCATAACTTACGAGACTGTCCACATCCACGGAATCAAGCTAATATAGAAAAAAATCGAAAAAATCTTAAGGGAAATTTGAAAACTCTTAGATATCATTTGGAAGATGATCAAAAATTTGGTCATATGATTCCTGGTCAATTAAGTAACAATTTGCGTAGAGCACTAGGTCTCAAAGAAAATGAATTACCTAAACATATATACAGGTAATTAAAACTTGGGTACCCTCCAGGATGGTTAGAGGAAGCACGTTTACAGCATTCTGGTTTAACACTATTTAATTCTGATGGTGTTGCTGAAGGAGATCCTAATGATGAACCAGGAGTAGTTTTTGAAGCAGGAGACAAGGATCAGTATGATGTAAAGAAAATATATGATTTCCCTGGTTTTAATGTACCCCCTCCACCTGGTACTCGTGATGTAAGCAGCAGATAAAAAATTTTATGAAAGAATGTAATATATTTTTATGTCTAAATTTGTTGGAAACTTATTATAAATAATATAGGAATGTGGACAGTATTGGGTATCAAACATGCAGGATGTTAATAGCAAACAAAGAATGTTGCTACTGTTAAACGAAAAAAAAGCAGATGATGGATACAAAAGAAAAAAGCTCAAAATTTGCAATAGTGCAACTAAAGATAGTGCAGCACCAGTACCTAGTGAAATGGAAATTGATGATGCAGAAGGTACAATAATTGCTTATTTATGTTCTGAAGTTTATACATTATAAGATTAATCAAACATATACATTATAAAACACATATTTTGTATTTTACTAAACAGAAGGTATGGTAGAGAGCATACCTATTAATGGACTTTTTGTACCACCATTACCACCAGAATCTGTTGTAAGACCACCAGAGCCATCAGATCCACCATTACCTGTTGTAAAACCACCAGGGCCATCAGATCCACCATTACCTGTTGTAAGACCACCAGAGCCATCAGAACCACCAGAACCATCATTACCACAAGAAGAACCATCATTACCACAACCACAGACAATATCTGAAGACTCACATTCTCAAGAATTACCATTTTCTGAGTCACTAGTATGTATAAAGAAGTGTTACATCCACCTGCCGTTTCTACCAACATTAATCGTAAATAAGATGAAATATTTCCTTACAATGAATCGAGAGTCCAATAAAAGTTTTCATGATACAAAATATTACAGGAAGATAGCGCATCACCATCTTCACGAGCAAATTCTCCATCGTTGTCGGAGTTAGAAAATATAAAAAAGCGATTACTCGTAGAACTTCAAGAATCAAACTCAAATTCCGACGTTTCATCAAAAAGTAATTTGTCAAATTCAGTACCAAAATCTGACATGCCACCTTTCAACACTGAAACTACACCAGAATCAAATCGGATTCAACAAAATGAAGCAAATACAAGCTGTGGAAGTATAAAATCTGTTGACTTAGGCACACCTGTATTGCAAAGTACGTCTCCGTACAGTAAGTTGCCGTCATCTGATAAATTTTCAAAAAATATATGTGATATAATTAATTTTGAAAATCTGCCGGATTCAACTGGTAAGTACAAACAAATGACTGGAGTTTTGCGGAAAGTAAGAAATACAATGGCAAAACTTCAACAAGAATGATTATAAGTGTTTGATTAGAATTCATGATGTCAAAAAACATAGATTTGGCATACAGAAAAATGAGGAGGAATTCTAGTTTATTTATAAAGGTACATAGAAATAAATTTGATTCTATAAATTATATTTCAAATTAAAAATATCATTTTTAAATAGAAATATTTAATATGTAAACTAGAAAACGTATAACCAATACGTTTATTTTTTGTTATTATATTTAATTGTGTATTTTTCAAATTAGGAAGTATTTAACATATTTTAATTCTAATTACAAATTTTCTTCCTTAATTCATATTTTTTTAATCGACAAAGTTTCATTGATTTTCCATACTTTTAACAAATACATTAAAATTTATCAAATATTTTGTTTAAAATTTAGTAACACTTTTCACATAATCAACTTATGTGGGAGGGAAGCCTTGAAGTAAAATGCATTCGTCCTTTTAATTGGTCTTCCCACTTATGTCGCTAAAATAAAAAAAAGTTCATAATTTTTAACAAAATTTCATGATGTCTCACTTCTGAAAAGTACAAAGATATAGTATTTTTCTATTAATTAGTGGCAATTTCTCACATGATATATTGTAAATGAACAGAAACTATTTGATATTCAACAAAAAAATTTTGAATATTTTTGATTGAATTAGTTTGAATATTATTATGATCTTCACTTTTTCGCAATAAATCGCATAATTTGAAAGAAATATAGCCCAGTTTACTTCAGAATTGGCGAATATTTTTAGTCCTTGTACATACTCAAGTATGAATAATTAAAAGAATGTTACATAAATGAAATATATGCATTTAAAACATTTTTTAGTAATATATGTAATAATTAGTGTCTATGAACAATTTTTAATTTCCTTTTATTTATCACTAGTGGATGAAATCGAAATCATTGTTAATAAAGAATTTATTTTTTGCTATTTGTATATACAAATGGATTTTTAGTTTTAGATATCTACAGGAAGATCAATAATAGCAAAAAATTCACCAATTCTAAAGAACTCTGTATATATGTAAATAAAAAAGACGTTTTTATAATAATGATAAAAAGCTAATAATAGAAGCATTTTAATAATGTGCTTGAAATGTACACCTCTTATTCCCCTTTTAGAAAAGTCGTCTATTTCTAATACGATTGCATAATAAAGATTTCGAGTATAATAAAGAAAATTCGATGAAGACGATACTTTTCATACTTGCATAATTAAGTTGTCAATATATATGTTTACTTTCTTAAACAATTGACATTTAGCATGTAGTATTTGACATTTTAAATATTAATAGATTGTTAGAAAATAGTGTACTGACTCTACAAGACTCTTGTATTCTTAATTACACGTATTTTGATTTTGTAAAATGTAAAAACATTGAATGTATGTACGTTTGTAAATATTATTTCCTGTGATAATTAAGTATCATACATGAAGTTCAATCGCAGCGTATTTAAGCAAATGAAAGTGTATATTGTTATTTAGGTAGAAAATAATAATGCTGTATTTTTCAAAAAACAGAACATTAAAACTTTACCGACAGCTCACATCATTACAATGTCACAATCTATTTTTATAAAACGAAAGCAAGCAGGTGTAAATAACGTAGAATATAATGCATGACGTTTATTGTCGGAAATACCATGGAGGAATGTACAACAATAGTGGAAGAAATTAATTTATATTATAAATGTTTCATATCATATTCAACGCATAAAATCATTAAATTCTATTTTTAAATAATTTTTTGTACAGTAGTCATTAAAATTGAGATTCATACATTGTGAGTCCCGGTAATACAATTTAACTTTCCCATAGAAAATAATATCATCAGAATTGTATAAAATAATTTCACAAATTATTGGAAATTTTTAAAGATACTTAATGCTTTCACAATGAAGGAATTGATTGTAATACTGTTATATCTTGTTTTCCATCCCCATTATTCCCTTTAAAGAAACTATTAGAACATGGTGCTATCTTATTTCAGATAGTATTAATTAATACTTTTATGTCAGATGCAATCACCTTAACGACGTGATAAAAGAGTTTTCATTTTAGCTTAGTTATCGCAATTTCGGTATTGTTACTCAAACGATGCACGTTCGTAAAAAAGTCCATATTCAATAGCCTGTAATATGATATCAGTGATTCAATTTGACTGTTTTATTCATATATCATATTTGACGAAAATATTCTCACAGAATTTTTGTTACATACACTTCTGGTATGCGTTAATAATTTAAGACTGAGTGAAAGCGAGGGAGAGAAGCTGGTTATTTATTTAAAATTATAATACTTTTCAAAGGTGTTTAGGGAAATTACATTTTTCTTAAGAATTAGATAAAACAATTATTACAATTATACAATTAATTACAATTACAATTTTACAATTATAATAATTATTCTTTCCACTCCCTCTTTTTTCGTAATTCCAGGACATTCTACAATGAAAACTTACACGACAAAATTATCATATTGCCTTCTTATTGCGCTGTCGGTGGTGGTGCAGGAGGATGATCACCGTTCGAATCCTAAAAATATCATTTCAAATATGCAATGAAATCCTGATAAGATAAAAAGAATTAATAGAATTAAATGAAGTGGTGTAGTACTTACGCGTTCGTTATCTCGATCTTTAGCAGTATTGGTCCTCAACTGACGAAGAGAGTTTGGTCTCAGAACGTACATAATAAGAGCAAATGCGATTATTAAGAAAGTCATGAGAAAATTTGAGGACGACGAAGTTTCGGGTGATAACGGTACTGAAAAATGGATGAATGATACAAATTAAAAGTTCTATTAAAAAGATTAGCATTGTTAATTGAGAATAAGAATATTTACATCGTGACATACTAAGGCACTCGCTGTCCGTGCAGTAGCTTTGCCTCTGCCGCAACTAGAACAATAAAATATTATTCGTTAAATATTTATGTCACTGGTAGATGTTTTTAAATACATGAAAGATATTCTAAAATATCTAGTATGAGAAACATAAAAGAGAAGAATATTTTGCAATTATAAAATATTTGCGAAAAAATCTGCGACGTGAAACAAATTCTTGTAAAATCACTTACTGCGACAAATTTTTGCAGATCGAATAGAAACGGAGTATTGCACTAATCGGCGCATAAAGGACAGCTTATATTAAACAGTATCATATTAGTCCCTAAATATCTAAATTATTGCGAAACAATCAACTGATCCTTATTCATTTTTCCTACCCAATTCAAACAAGTTGTAAGTTCTAAATGGACACGAGCTACGTCATCAATCTATAGAATATCTCTAACACTTGTTTCGACTAAAGAGGAATTATTGAAAACTGATACCTTACAAACACTAGATAATGCGTATTGACAAATCTTGATCTAACAGGTTGTGAAAGAAGGCCTATTTTTCGACGGAAATCGTCGCCACTTACGATAGAAAGCAGTTGCATAGCCAGTTCATGATTCCATATCGATTCACATATATCTAATCCTTCGTCGGCCATTGCGAAATCTATGTCTGAAATTGAAATAATGATTATAATATAAGTATACCATATATGGAAAGAGATACACGTTACAAGTCGTGCTCGTAATTACGTTTATGTCGTACCAACCATTCTAAAGGATACTATGAATACATACTAGATTTTCAGGTTCAAGCAATGTATATTCGTAATACTCATAAATGAATAATGATGTGTAATTCGGTGGCTATACATTGATTCAAAACGTTAGATCTTGTGCTCGTTTGAGGCACAATATCGAAAACGGCAGGAAATACATGATATATACATATCGCGAATGTGTTAGTCATAAGGTAAAATTACTCTGTATAGTTACATTATTCGCGATAATATTAGTCTAACGATACTCGTAAAGTACATGAAAATTTTAGAACTACGATAGCACGAAAAATTCAGATATGCTAACATATTCGCGCCGTTTATATTAACACATATTGTAACATATAAATATCAGTATGTAAAAATTAAAATATTGGTAAAAATATCAGAAAACTTGTTTCACGTTATTAGTAATCCTAATTTATACTAAAATGTATATTACAATGTTTAACTAGATTCATAAAAAGTATTTTCTATGTTTTCAATAAATATCGTTCCTTATTCAAAGTGACATATTTCGGTGCATGTTTGGTAATTGTATTCGTATAAAAGACGCGTAGAATATGTACACATATGTGTTCGTCCAGTTATTTAAGGGTTAGTTTTTTTAATTTTATTTTCTCGTAGATTAAGAACTATATTCTGAAATTAATTATTCCATTCAAAATGGCAGGTCAAGTGGTTAAAGTCACATAAAAGGATAATTTCGTTCAATGGGTACGAACAGCTGTGTTTACGTGTACTACGTTACACTAAAAATGTAACACAGATGGAACGCAATCATGAAAATATCATTCATTGAATAACATTTCGTAGAACAAAATTAAAAAAAATATCGATATAGTTAAAGAAAATAATAATCGAACAACGATTGACGATTAAATATCATTCACAATTTATTGACATTACTGCCAAATGAAAAAATAGTACAGCAATCAAATGAGAATCGTGAAGAATAAGAATCACTTAACGAAAAATAATATTTCATACTTTACCCCTCTGCAAAAAAAAATGGAAGACCGTGCGATCGAAAATAATTACTGTTTTCACGCTCTACTATTTGACACTGCAACAAAATAAGTATCTACACCGTATTTACATTCAACGCGAATCAGCCATTGCGCTCGTCCTGTTGTATCTCGAATGTCGTACTCCAGAAGTGACAAATTGGCGGCCCGCGGGCCGCATGTGGCCCATGCCCCTACTTACTTGGTCCGCAGCAATGTAGGGGAGCGGTCCCCTCCACATCGATTTCTTCGATCGGAGATGACGAGTTTCTTCTGCTGCCGATTCCCCCACTACACACAAATTAGTTCTCACTCTACGCATCTTCCTTTAGTGTGTTTCTCGCGGCGAGGAAAAAGTGATAAGGGAAGGTGCACAGAGTAGGAACTAATTTCCTTGGTGGGGGAATAGTCAAAGTGGGAGAGCATTTTGTGCGGTCAGCGACGGGAAAGAAGTTCGTCACCCCTGTCGTAGTCCAATATTCAAGCTGAACTTTCATTGGTGTATTTCACGGTTATACACCATACTACATACAACTTGGTGCTTGACAATTGGTTATCTGCACCAAATGCTTGCATGTTGCACAAAATTCAATGGTTTAAAGCTTTTAATTCAAGTTGTAGTTTTAAATCCTATTCATATTTTTTGAGTGCATATTAACTTGTCAAATTATGAACAAAGATTACTTTAGAATAACTGATTGTTTATACGCAAAAATTTATATTTTATTTAACATTTTGTATTTTTTAATTTACATTTTATATACAAATCAAAAACGCTGTATAATATGGTGATTTATAATTTAATTTTTAAGTAATGTACAATAGATAAGTTTGGTATATTTCATTGCAAGGAACTCTATGAGTACAGATATTCTGATCATAACATTTAATTGACTGTGTGTATAATAGTATGTTAACATTATCCCAATTCTAAGTCTTGAATCTGAAATATAATTATATAATATAAAAAAGAAATAAAATACAATTATTATTCATAAAGACATAAATAATAATTATACATACCTCTTGCACTTTTTGCATTTCTTGCGTTAGCAAATTATCCAGTATTTCCTGAAATCTTTGCCTCAATTTAACGTTTTCAATATTAGCAATTTCAATTTCTTGTTGCTGTCTTCTTTGCCGCAGTTCAGCTAATTCCGCGTGCAAAGTTGCGAGACGTGTTTGTAACGAATCTATAATAATTGCTTATTAAATATATGCATAAAAGATATAAATTTCATGTAGTTATAAATTACAATACCTTTTGATGCAGGAGCAGGTGACTCTGAGAAGTTATCTGAAATGATATATTCTGAATGGAATTGTTCAACTTTAGGTCCTTTTGATGGGGACACGTCTTCCGGTTTTTCTGCTTCTGCTTCCATATTATTATCATTTTGGAACATTTCTTTGCTAAATTCCGTAACAAGATTACTATTTGTTGCTGTATTGTTGTCAGACCTTTCTGAATATGTGACCTGCATGGAATTAGAGTCTGATACTCTACTGTCTGCAGAAAGTCGACTATTTTCATCCAATTCCATTACATTTATGTTTGCTTCTTCATCATCATCTTCACTATCACTTACAGGTTCACCAAATATATCATGTTCCGCTATAAATTAAATATGGAGATATTTTATTTAGTGATTACATTACTTTTATATTTTTATTTGTATTACTTACCAACATCAAGACTTTGAGAAGTATTCCCATTAATACTTTCTCTTTTAGTCTTCACTGTACCAGATGATGAAACTTTACTTGGTTTTGATTGATCCTCATCTTCACATATTACTTCCCACTTAACATTAACTGCATCATTATCTACCCTTAATAAACGTTTTACTTCCTTCTCAATTTCTGGAGCTTCTACATATTTCTTCTTTAAGGTTTTCCTAAATCTTCTGCGTCTCACATTTTTAGCAGGAGGGGTTATACCATGTGGCCATAAAAATTTCTTGTCCACTTTATTAGGGTCCTTTTTCTTCTGTCTAACTGGAGATTCTTCATCTGTAGTAGTATGATCATCTTCTTCCTTACATGACATATATCAGCAGTTTTATAGAAACTTTTATTGTCAATGGTTTTCAAGGATTCTACAATTGTTGGCAAGTCAACAACCTATATTTATAAGATTTATAATTTAGAGCATGTTTTTCTATTATTAAATAATATTCATGTACGAATAAAGTCAAGAATATATTAATTTTACCTTGCCATGAAGTAGCCAATGATCAAATCTGGCCTCACCATAACGCATATCATTTTCCAATTTTATATTCAGCCTATCTTTCAGAGGTAATCCACTGCGTAATGTTTCTCGTAAAACTCGTGCCGGTTCCTTAAAAAAGTAAATCACTTGTTACAGTTGCGTTTGACATTTTATTTGTTTCATAACCTCAAATAACTCCCATTAAAACTAAACAAAAAATTAACTTACCGGTGGTAAACGTAAAATAAATTGACTTTCCAACTCCACCTGAGGTTCACTGCGATTTTTATAATCCGTATTCGGATGACGATTCATGTTCCCTTAAAATTATATTCAAAATTAACAAAATTGAAATATTTATATTTAAAAATTGTTACAAATTTTAGTGCGTTATGTCTTAAGTATTTCTAAAACAATCGGTACATAATAAATCGAATCTACAAATATTAAATAAAATCTAAACAATTGCATCCTTTTTTACCCAGAAGTTCGTAAACAATAACTTTACTGAAGTAACTACGAAATGAACGTACAAATTGAAGTCAGTACATTTTGTAACAAATAATGTAATAATAATAAAAAGCAATTAAATATAGACAAAAAGTCGCTTTTAAGCGATTAAAAGAAAAATCTGATCGAAAGAAATTATTTAATTTATTAAATTATTTTGAAAAAACCGAGAAAAGGGTTCTCATTTGTAATGACGTCAGTTATGACGTAATGACTAACCACTGTTCAGTCTGTTCAATGTAAAAGAATATAGATAGCGTTTCTTTTAGATTTTGCTTAGTTCGGCTTTGAACGCTGCGTTTGAACGCATCGGTTTAGATATTTAATATAACTTCCATTTTTAATAACTGCATCATATCTTATAGAAAATCTATTTCTGTAATATCTATTTCATTAGTGCAACGTAATATGTGAAGATACACATGGGCATCAATAAATTCCGGTAAATAAGTTCGTAAACACGATATTCGAATTAATAATCGACATAATTGGACTATTCGTATAGTTAAAAATAATTCTTATCTTTTTTTTCAATGATATCAGCAGTATAAGTACATTGTGCACTTACATTAATAATTCTGATCCATCGAAGCAATATTCACTCGCAAATTTCCGAAATTATTTTCGATAAATTATACTACATTTATAGTTGGGCACAGTGAAATACTTGGCAGATAATTTTAAACGAAACATACTTTTACTTTCATTTAATATTTCATTGATCAATTGAATAATGAATTTGATTGGATGGTATTAATGTGCATAATTGTTTCGATGTTACAATAGAAAGCATCATGTTATTTCAAGGGGCAATTCTCGTTCATTAAATGTTCACGCTTCATCGCCTTTACGTCAATAATTGAGAATGCACCTGCGATGTTTTATGCGTCGTACATTTTTAATTGTGAATAACTTAGCAAATCCATATGTTTATAGTTAAGCTATAACAGTAAGTGATCAATGGAACATCGGTCTTCGCGCTCGCGCCGTCGTACTTCTGACGTCCATGTATATCGTTTTCCTTTCTTCGAATGTTTGTAATTACATCAGTGAAAAACCGTTCAATTCGTAAAGTGCATCAAACTCGAGAATTTTTATCTCATGTATAATGGTGAACATAACATTTGCTTCTTCGTTCGTTACACCTTCCACTTCGTGTAATTAATCACCGTAACACACGAGTTTTAACAGGGCAAACAATTGTTTGAAATCAGGTACGTTGTGATTGATTTATATAATACTTTTTTGTATAGTTTGCGACGTATAATTTACCTTGACAGTAAAATTATTCACGTAGTTCCCAGAGCATGCCGGGTTAATAAATGGGAATGTAAATACATTTTGCGTATTACTTAACATTTTTTTTTTAACTTTACCTGAACAATTTTTATTACTCGTTATAGTACTTGTTTTGCAAAAAATACGCCAGATAAAGTAGTATTGATATTTAAGTATCATTACATAGCACTTCACAATGACATGCATTATCTCTTGTATTCACTATTATGATTTGTGTCATTTTTTTAATCTTAGTAATTATGTACTATCAATTAATATAATCATTTTTCATTTATGTTGTATATATTTATTTGTGTGTGTTACAGTTAGCTGTCTATAAATATCAATATTATAAAACATCTGTTTCTAATTCTGTTATAACATTATGTGATAAGTTTATTAAGATTATGACATATTTTTAATGTGATAGATCCATAATGATTTCCCAACCAATTGTGGTTCCTGGAGGTGAACATCGATCCCAATCAGAAAGTCAGTCTATGTCTGTTGGGAGTACTTCTGATTCCTTCAAGACTACGACACCACCAAATGTTAGCAGATCACTTAGTAATCGTAAGTATTATTTAAATCTCATGATTTTAAACTGCTATTGTTATGTTATTAAAAATAAATGTATTGTGGAAGTTTAAAGAAATATTGATAGATCATAAAAGTAATTATAAAGGAATGTTATTTGTAGGTATTAATGTAGTTGTATACTTATGTAATAATTATATGCGAATTACATATTTGGTTTTAGAAAAGGCAAATATGAAATAATTTTTATATTATAAGTTAATGAATATTTGCATTTTTATATTATACTTTTATG